CATATTTATAATGATCATTATAAAAATAATTACAGTATATATATTACCATGCACGTTTAAGGGACCACTTCGAATATGTGAAGATTGGATCTAAAATCTTTGATATAGCATGAATTACATATGAGTTCTCGTGGTAATCATCTTCCGTTAATAATGGTCTTAGACTCCAAATATGTCACCTGGAATTAGAAATACTCTTAATTAATGATATATCCTTATATAAATATTCACATAATTTAATGCAAATAATTTACAATCCTTCTAACAAGTTAAAAACCGTCATTAGTATACGTCTGGATTCAATAGACATTTCTCCTCGTAGAAAGGCTATTGGTCGCATTAACACAGGATCAAAGTCAGGTTTCAGATCTTTATACGTGTCTACGAAATCATCCACCATGAATTTAATTTCTCCTGGAAATTCATTATTGCCGAACTCATGGTGCATCAAAATCTGCTTAGACCTAGACAATAACAAATTTACAAATAGGTCTTTATTTCCAAAGAGATCAATAATACCAGATGCTAAAGGAACTTCTGGTTTAATCGTCGCTAGATCTAAGCGTTCCAAATGATGAACAATTTCAGTATATGCGACCATAGTAGCTTCCGAGCTATTTCCTAGCTTAACTCTCTATAGATAATATTTCCCAATTAACAATAAACACACCAGAAATCAAAATTATGATATTTACTTACACATCCGCTTAATATAAATTCTATATTCTCTTGAATTATATTAACATTATGTTCCTGTTCTATAGCTTGTCGCTATATTAGTAAAAAATGAAAAAAGATAAGCGCTTTTCGTTTTGGATAGTATGAGGTACATATATATTTATACTTACTTTCTCCTTTTCTCCCATCCAAGCTTCTTTATAAATTTTTTGACGTTGTTCCTAAAACAGAAGAAGAAAAATAACTTAATCTAGTATCTTCAAGATAATATAATTATATAATATAATATATAAAATCAGCTATTCCAAAGTTATTCATTTTCTATAATATAAATGGGATCCATGCCCACGGTCAGTGACGAGGTACACAAGGCATAGCTTGTACCGAACCTAGTGTGAGACCCACACCGGAACGATGAATCCCCTGAACTGCACCCTTCGATGCTTACGGTGCTAGCGTTCCGTAAGCTAAGACATACGCAAAAACTTTATCATATACACCCGGATACAGACAGCAACATAGGCCTATGTTGTTATTTTTCTATCCCCTTCTGCAAAATTGTTCATCATCTTCCAAAAAAATAGATAACACATTTTTTATTACATACCTTAGAAGTCGTGTTAAATTGAGATAAGATCTCCACTAGCTTTCGCTTATTTTTTGAATTATTTGTCCCACACATAGTTATAGCTTCTTCTAGCTCTTGGCGGTATTG